AGCTGTTTGGCAGAGCGGGTTCTGCTGCCCCCACCTTTGTTCCTAGCTTGGTGGCTCTTGGTAGTAGCCACACAGGATGTGTGTTCAGTGTGGGTGGTTTTTTTTGCTCGACAAATGTTTAGCCCGTGTGTTCAGTATTCTTTGGGAGACCATCTGGCAACCCTAAGGGTGATAGATGCTCTGGCCAGGGGCCCTGGAAAAATGGGGGTGCTGAAGGAAAGAGCTTGTCTCCTTCCCCCATCTGCACAGCAGCTGGGGACTGGGGCTCGGGCGGAGGCTCACAAGTTCCCATGCCCCCATCCCACTCCTGCGCAAGAGCGCCCGGTGGGAGGAGCAGGACACGTCCCCCACTGGCTCTGTGGCTGCGCGCTGGCCCTGGAGCCAGGCAGGCAGAGCAGAGAAAGCCCCTGCAACCCGGCCCCCTCTGCCCAGCCCTGAGCCTGGTCCCCAGCAGGAGCACCAGACTGGTGGAGCAGGGCTAGTGCTAGGGACGGGGGTGGTTTGGCCGGGGTAAGTGGATGGGCCACGTTCACCTTGGCCTCCCCACAGCGGTGCCCCCTGCTCTGCCCAGGCCAGTGGCTCTGTGCGCCTCCCTTTGCCCCTCTCCCAGTGGCCGCGCGTTCTGCCTGGGCTAAGGCGTTTGGGGCAACAGCTTCGCCGCTCCTGGAGGCTGGGCCCAGCTGCTTGGGTGCTAGCTGGTTATGAACGGACTCTGAAGCCTGGAGTGCAAATCCCAGGGGCCGTGGGGCGGCTCGCTGGCCGGCAGGGATCTGGTCCTGCAGTGCGGATGGGCTCCTCTGTAGGGATGTAAACCCTGTTTAATTAGTTAACTGGTTAAACGTTACGTCTAACTGGTTAATCTGTGAAATGGGTTTGGGCGGCTGCAACCCAGCTGGGCTGGAGTAGCAACCACCACGGGCGGGGCTGCTCGGCCAGGCTGGAGAGCCCCTGCCCACCGCATGCCTGGGCTGGACCCACCATGTTAGCAGGTGAGACTTACCGGCTGTGGTTAGAGGCAGGCGCACTGGTGAACCAGTAACATGCGTATTCCTGTGCACTGTCCCCACCCCCTGGGACTGCGACCAGCTTCCCCTCACGTTTCTCTCCGGTGTCTGGGGCGTGACACCGGGTGGTGCTAACAGCTGCCCCAAACCTGCCCTCTGATCTGTAGAGATTGTAGGCCGGGCTCAAGCTGGTGGCTCTGCCACGCTAGTGCCAGGGTCTCCATGTTCCCCGGCCCCCACATTCCTCTCTGTTTCTCCGATTTCCCCAACTCCATAGCGCTGAAAAGTCACCATGTGAGAGACGCTGGCAGGGCCTCTCTTGGCTCAGCCACTGTGTCAGATCAGCACAGCCAGAGGGGAAAGGAACCGTGCGCCTCAGAGCAGCGCACCGCCCAGGGGCTGCCTGGTTGGGAGGTCCTGGATTCTGACAGCCCCTGGGCTTCACGGCCACAGCGCCCCCAGGCTCCAGGCCCGATGCTCAGCCCCGCCCTGGCCCAGCCAGGAATCCAGCAGTCAGGCTGTACACTCAGCTCTGAGCTCCCCCCATACATGGCAGGCCCCTGCCTGAGCCCCCACAATCCTTTGCACCCCACCCCCGCCCCACTCCCCTGAAAATCAGTTCAGATTTTGGTGGGGAAGCAAGAGAGTGAGAGTATGGGAGGCAGACGGAGGACAGAGGCTTCAGCAGTGCTACTGAGCATGCTCAGTACACACTGAGCACCAAATGCAGGGGGAACTAGCCCCATCTGCTACCCCATCACTTCTGTTCAGGGGCTACTAAGGCACTAGAAAACTCTACTTTTTTGGCAGACAGCTTAGCAATGAGCTGACAGGAGCACTGTATCTAATTCCTATATCAAAGAAAGCAAACTAAATAAATGTTAGACCACTCTGATCTAACATTAGCACAATCTGACCTCTTGTAACAAGTCATGGAAGGGACACTGGGTAGCCCTAAAATGTGCAAGTCTATTCTAACTCTGGAGAGAGACCCCCCGTCAGGACTCCTGGGCTCTCTCTGAGTGGGGTCTAGTGGCTTACCAGCCAGGGCACAGATACATTTTAGATCTATATATGAACATCAGAATGGCCAGACTGGGTCAGACCAAAGGTCCTTCTAGCCCAGGGTCCTGTCATCCAATAATGGCCAATGCCAGGTGCTTCAGAAGGAATAAACAGGAGACGCAATTGTCATGATCCAGCCCGTCACCTATTTTGTTTTAAATCTGCTGCCTATACATTTAATTGGGTCCATTTCTTGTGTTATGTTAGTGAAGGAACAAACATTTCCTTATTCTATTTTTCCACATCTTTCATGATTTTCTAGGCACATCCCCCCCACCCTTCAGTCATTTATTTTCCAAGCTGAAAAGTCCCAGTCTTGTTAATCTCTCCTCCTGTTCCTTACCCCTAATACTTTCTGGTGTGCTCTCTTTACCTTTTCCAAACGCAATACAGTGAAACCTTTGGTATCCGGCACTCTGTTAACCAGAAAACTTTGTTAACCGGCATTGCCCCCAGCCATAATACTGTCACATCTTCAGGCACACAGGCTTGGCTTGGCTCACCATGATTGGCTTTACAATTTTTTATGGAAGAAGTACTAATCATCTTTCACTCGACATAGAAATGTGAGACCAACTGCCTCACACTACAAAACTACCAATATTAAAAACTCAAGTTTTACTATTATTGTCTATTGGTTTTCTCTAGATTGATGGGGCCCTCAGATAACCGGAATTTTTAGATAACCGGAACGCTCTAATCCCCGAGCGTGCCAGATAACACAGGTTTTACTGTAGATCTTTTTTTAGATGAGGGTGACCAGATCTGCATACAGCATTCAAGATGTGGGCATACAATGACTTTGTATGGTATTTTGTTGTCTTATCTATTCCTTTCCTAATGATTCCCAGTGTCCTGTTACCTTTTTAGTTTTTAGATTGCCACTGCACACTGAGCAGATGTTTTCAGGGAACTGTCCACAATAATTCCAAGATCTTTCTTGAGTGGTAACAGAAATATGTGCCTGCATATCCCGTCATCTTTGTATCTATAGTTGGGATTATATTTTCCCATGTGCATCACTTTGCACTTATCAACACTGAAATCCATCTACCCCTGTGTTGCCCAATCATCTAGTTTGTGAGATCCCTTTGGAACTCTTTGCCGTCAGCTTTGGATTAGTCCAGCTGCACAACACTCATTCCTATTCTCTTTCCCCCGTCTTGTCTTGTAAGTGGAGTACTCGGCAATGCTTTTATGATGATCTAATGATCCTTCAGAGATTTGACTGCACAGCCTTTTGTTGTTCTTAGCCTCCTGTTCTTTGTAACAAACTCCCTTCCCCAAAGGCAAAGCTGCAAGCAGCTCAAACTCTGTTGCATGTAAGAGCTGGCTCTGGAGTCAGGGATTGGCTTGCAGAAGACCTCAAGTATGAAATCCAGGTGATCAAACTTGGAGGGAGGCTCCTGCCCTCTGCCCCCCCCCCCCACATAAATGGTGCAAGAAATTTGTTATTTTCACCCCGAACGTATCCCAAAGGCATAGCTCCCTGGTGTCCTCACAGTCCTGAGGCTGGCTCTGTGAGCTGCTGGGGCCAGATACTAGTTACACTGCGTGGGAGGAGGGGGGAGATGGCCAAAAAAAGTATGTGTCCCACCCTGCGATGCACTGGCCACTGTGCATCTCTCGAAGGGGATCCCCTAGTTCTGCTGGGGGGATGGATTCGGTGTCTATGGGGGTGCTCTCTAGAGTCCTTGCCTGCTGCACAGACGGAGAAAGAGGGGTCCTTTTGTAGCTGCTGCAGCCTATCCAACCCAACCCCAGCTGCTTCGGGAAGATGGCCTTTCTCTTCTTGCTCCAGCCTAAGGAGGCCTGCCCCTCACCTCCAGACCACTTCAGGAATGAAAGGGGATGTGTCCCACCTCTTCCAGCCCTGGCCCCACCTCCCTGCCCGCTGGCCAGATCTCTGGAGATGGTCGGTGAGGAGCGCCTGCCCGAGTGGGCACCCTGCACAGCTGGAAGGGGAAGATGTGGGAGAACGGTGGGTGGCTGGAGGGAGAAAGCATCTGGAACTGGGTTTATTGTTTACTTCCTGGGGGAGGGGCTCTTGGGTTGCCGGAGTTGCAGAGTGGAACCATCGCCTGGGTCTCAGGTCAGACTCGAACAGGCCTGAGTAGCTTGTGAAGATCTCTCGTTCCGAGGTCTCTGGCTGTGAGATCGGGTGATTTGACTTCCCAGTGGGCTGGATGCTCACAGCTGATCTTCAGGCACTAGCTAGGGCAGAGGCATAACACTTGAGACTCCCGAGCTGCCGTGCTAGCTACTATTGGCTGCCTTGTATGGGGCATCCTCTGGGCAGGCGAAGGGAGACCTAGGGTGGACCTAAGGAGAAGGCAAGGGATGGGGCAGTCGGCCCCTCGGGGCCTGATCCTGCAGGTGCTCTGTTTCTGCTGAAACCCATGGATGTGCCTGCATTCTGGTGCTGCAGAGAGGCGAGTTACAAGAACTTGGCTGCAAGGTCTGGCAGGCCCAGGTCTTTCTGGGGAAGGTCAGCCAGGGCCCTATCTTCCCCTAATGCAGCAGGAGGGGGGATTTGCCAGCATCCCAAGGACTGATCCTGTGTCCGCTGTGTCCTGAGCCTGTCTCTCTGTCCCCAGTGACCCAGACAGACAGACGGAGAAGGAGTCCATCGGCTGCCTTGGTGGTGCTGGAGTTTTCCCTCAGGGCCGTGTCTATGCTGCTATCCCAGAACAAGGTGAGTTGTCACCTCTGGGTACCAGCCTGTGTGATACTCTAGTGCTGTGTGAGCCAATGCGGGAAGTGGACAGAGAGGGCAGATTCCTGATGTGCCCCCTATTGTGCTGTAGGAAAAATCCCCCTCTTACATGACATACTTCTTCAGTAGATCTCAAATTGCTTAACACAAGAGGTTTATGTCATTCAACTCCCTTTTACAGAAGGGGAAACTGAGGCACAGTAGGGCGTGACTTGCCCAGAGTCACTCAGGGCAAGGAGAAGAAAGAACCCTGATCTCATGAATCACTGCATAGTGCTCTGTTCACCAGGCCCCACGGTGCATGTTTCTCCATCTTCCATTTGCCTGTAATAGGGATGTGAACAACTAATTGACTATCTGATAAGCAAATGCTTATCGGATAATCAAGTTGACTGATTGCTTCCCCCTCCACCCCCCAATGCTGCCTCTATCAGAAAGAGGCTGCTTCGAAGGGGCATCCTCCTGCAGGGAGCCGGCGTCAGGCTGCATGTGGCGTTTCTAAGCGGCAGCACCATGTGGAGCCCAGGATCAGCTGGGGACTCCCGGGCTGACCCTGGGCTCCGTGTGGCGCTGCTGCTTTGAATTGCCGTGAGGAGCCTGACGCCGGGATTCCTGCAGCATAGCAAAGTGGCCCTGCTGCATGGGGCCTGGGGTCGGGCTCCACATGGCACGGCTGCTTTGAAACACCGTGGGGCACGCAGGGCCAGTGGAGGGCTGCCCCGTTGGCCCTGTGCTCCCAGCAGCACTTTCACCTTCCAAGTGTAGCAACAGCGCAGCCCTAGGGCTCTAGCTACACTTCAAAGACGGAGGCGCCCCATCGACTAGTCGGTGGAAATTGCATCGACTATTCGATTAGTCAGCTACTCAGCATGTAACATCCCTAACCTGTAATAATCCTGCCCGAGGAAGCGGAACCTAATGCAGGCTGGTACAGACCCTGTGTGGGCCGGAGTGCACACCCTGACCTGGAGGAGGGCTGCAGAGTCTCTTCCATGATTCTTTCTCCGACCTTGCTGGGGACCAACTAGAGCCAGGAGTGAAACACTGAGCCGCAGTGTGGCACTCTCAGGTGCTGGCCGCCGGACCACCCTTCCTAGGCAGGGCTAGAGGACACGGGATTGGAAGCAAGTGTAGGCCCAGAGGTCTTGTGTCTGGCTGCTGTGAGATGAGACACCCTCCCTCACTTTCCCCAGTTCTCCTCTGCCCCAAGGTCCCTGCATCTCCGGGCAGGGGTGTGATGTAGTGTCAGTTCCTTGCTGGTTGCTGTGCGTGGGCTGTGGGCTGGGGGTGACCTCTACTGGCCTCTGTCTGTGAGCATGGCCCAGCGGGGGCGCCTTGAGGGCCCCCATGACAGTGACTGATCCGGTCCTACCGGTTAAGGGAAGAGATGGAACAAAGGAAGAGAGTGTTGGGGGAAGGGGCAGTTGCTGGCTGGAAAACATGAAGGGAACAACCTAAGTGGAGGACTGAGGGTCTAAACAGGGGGCGATGGACACCCTAACCTCAGTGGTCTGAGGCATCCTGGCCTTGACTCCTGTAACCACATCATGTCTAGGCTGTGCTGTATCCTGGAGAAGCAATAAACCCCCTCTAATCTACTGGCTTGTGGACTCTGTTCTTGCTGCTACGGGGGTGCAGGATTGAGGGGAACCCCGACTGTGCCATCACAAGGGGTCCCGGGAGTTCTCCTGGACACAGGCTGCAAGGCTGAGCGGGTGTGAGAGAGAGGAGTGGACAGTAGAGGACTCAAGACCGAACTGCTCTTGCCCTGTCCCTGAGCTCGGCTTGTGCGAGTCGAGCTGAAGGAGCAGGCGTCTAGCCCCGGTGCTGCACAATGTGCATTGTGCTCCTCTGTCCTGTTGCTGCGGTGGGGGTCCCGGGAGTTCTCCTGGACACAGGCTGCAAGGCTGAGCGGGTGTGAGAGAGAGGAGTGGACAGTAGAGGACTCAAGACCGAACTGCTCTTGCCCTGTCCCTGAGCTCGGCTTGTGCGAGTCGAGCTGAAGGAGCAGGCGTCTAGCCCCGGTGCTGCACAATGTGCATTGTGCTCCTCTGTCCTGTTGCTGCGGTGGGCGGTTCCTTTTTGCTGGCCAGGGACATTAAAGCAGCCACGGAATTCTAGTCCCCATCTGGAGGACAGCATTGGTGTGTGGCTAACGTGCTGCATTTCCGCAGGGTGCACACAGCAGCCAGCTCTACCTGCTGTGCCAATACTCCCTGGGGTGCGGCATCTCCTGCAGCCTCAGCTACCTGCTGGAGGGGGCTCCCCACCGCACCTGCAACCTGATCCTCAGCTTGGGCCTGGCCGGCTTCCTCACTTGCTATGTCTGGAGGCTGGCCCGGCACGTCTGCACCATGTACGAGCTGCACAGCAAAGAGCGCTACTGCGGGGTCTGCATCTTCCTGCTCACCACTTGGCATGGCATCCCCACCCTGCTCTGCAACGCCCTCAAGATCACCTTTGCCGTGGCCGACCTGGCGGCCGTCGCCCTGATCAACCAGGATTTCCTCAGCACCTCGGAGGCCATACGCTTCTGGACACCACTCACCATCTGCTACACCCTGCTGGTCATCTACATGCAAGGTAGGGCGCTCGCGGAAGGCTGGAAGCCACCGTGCTCCCAAGGCTGCTGGGTTATTGGCTGGGGATTTGTCTGCAATGGTGGAAACCCCTGGAGACCCAGTGACTCGGTCCAGGGTCTGATCAGCCAATGGAAGCTTGTTTCGAGGGGTGGAGTGAGCGTGGAGGGCAGGGGCGCTGGCGCCGGAGTGGGTGAAACTGCTCCAGTACTTGTGTCGCTTCGGTTCGGCTCAGGCATGTTTAGTTTTGCTTTTGCAACAAAGTACCGTCCTGGGAACTGCTCCTGCCCCCCGGCTCCACTGGAACCACGGAGCTCTGCATAGCACAGGCCGTCAGATTCCCACTGCCCAGTGGCTCCCGAGGGCAGAGATCTGGCCTGTCCTGGCAGCAGCTTGGAGCATGGTTTCCTGCAGCGCAGACTCCAGTTTGCTCTTGCTGGGCTGCAATGTGGCTGCAGAATTCGTGTCTGCGCTGGAACCACAGGGGTAGTTTCCAGCTTGGGTAGCCTGACGTGCTGGCTGAGCTTGTGCACCAAAACAGCAGTGTTGGCGCCCTAAGGACAGGCCCGACGGCGACCCTCGATGGGGCTCGCTCAGCCGCTGCAGCCCGCTAGTGCAGACGTCTGCTGCAGCCGGGGCTAGCGTGTAGATGTGGCCGACGCCAGCAGGGAACGAGGTAGGAAGGGACATTTCCAAGCCGCTTTCTTGGCCATACTAACGGCGTAGCATGGCTGTGACCATGGGATGGCTTTGTTCCTGGCAGAGGAGCAAAGGCAGAACCCCAGCCAGCAGATGATCTATCAGACAGTGTTTGTGAGGATGGGAGGCCTCCTCATCCTCCTCATGACCGTGGGCCGGTGGATGGACATCGTGAACATCTTCATCTCGCTGGTGGGTGAGATCTGGTGCCTGGTTCGGGCTGGAATCATGCTGGACGTCTGTCGGGCCCAGGTGAGCCTGCACACGTGTCCTTCGTGCATGCTGCCCTTGGGGGAGCACAGGGCAGGGCGACACCCTAGCGCTGTTGGCTGGTTCACCTCCTCATGACCGTGGGCCGGTGGATGGACATCGTGAACATCTTCATCTCGCTGGTGGGTGAGATCTGGTGCCTGGTTCGGGCTGGAATCATGCTGGACGTCTGTCGGGCCCAGGTGAGCCTGCACACGTGTCCTTCGTGCATGCTGCCCTTGGGGGAGCACAGGGCAGGGCGACACCCTAGCGCTGTTGGCTGGTTCATCGGAGCAAAGCCAGACCTGCCCTGGTGGAGGGGCTGGCAGTGGCTTGCAAGGGCAGAACTGGTCTCTGCTTTGGACATTTCTGGGGCGCCTCCCAGCTGTGGTGATGGCAGCTTGGGCCTTGGACTCGGTGTGCATGTCGGGGAGCAGGGAATTGTGAGAGGGAGGGGACAGAGAAGCATAGTGGGGAGATGGAGGGATGAGGATGGATTGGTAAGGGGTTGCCATGGAGGCAGGAGGATGAAGCCAGCAACCAGTTGCAGTGCAGCAAATTAGAACAGTGCAAGGGCCCAGTTGTCTGGGGAGGAAAGCGACTGGCTCCAGCAGAGACTGGGCCCTGAGTGGCAGGAGAGGGGCAGCACTCGCATCTGGGGGAGAGCCCTTGGCTGTGGAGCGCAGGTAGCTGCTTGTTGGCACATACCTGGTGCTGCCTGGGCAGGCTGAGGGCAGGCCCTTGGCCGGAGAGGCTTTTGGCTCTCTAATATTGGTGTGGCTTCTCTGCAGGATTTTTCGCAAAAGTTCCCAGAATCCAGTTCCAGGCAGCCCCAGCCAAGGCCTGAGGTCCACGGCAGAAAGTCCAGCTCTGTGACCGAGCCCTCGGGTGAGAGGTCGGCGCCGAGAGGTGAGGAGGGGGCTGCCGCGTTCCAGTGATGGCGAGAGGCAAGACTCCTGCGATGGCCTGAAATGTGACTTTTTACGCTGCAGGCCGCGCCAGCTGAAGTGGCTTCGTTCGCATGGTGTAAGTGCTCCACCCAGCGGGCTCTGCTGAGAACATTGTCAACCCGGGACTCATGAGTCTTTGCTCCTCCTCCTGTCCGTGGAAATGGCAAGGCCCCTACAGCCTCCTGCTGCCTGGCATGACAGAGACTGTGCAACTGGTTCCTCCCTACTCGAGTCCTCCGGCCTCCTCTGATCTCTCCCTCGCGCCTCCCAGCACCTCCAGGCCCCTGGGCTTCCAGGTCTCCCAGCAGTCCCAAAGGCCTAGTTTCATCAAGGCTGCATATGGAGGTGGCTGGGGGGGAGGCCATGGGGGACGGGGCAACTAGGAGGAGCATGGCCAAAGCCAGAGCAGGCTGCTGCCATCTGACTCTGTTGGTGGCCTGCTGGATGCACGCATGGGTGCTCCTATGGCCTGGCCTCCAGTCCAGCTGGCCCCGATGTGTGGCTGGGAGGGAGTGAACAGTCCCATGGCTGTGCTGTGTGGGCTGAGGGTGGAGGTCCAGGCACAGGCTGGCTAATCTAGCTCAGACACACTTAGGGTAAAGGGCTCATTCCTCACTGGTGCAGGTTGGGGGCTTCCGCAGCTCCCCTCCATGTGCCCCTCTGCGCCAGGGGCCGGCGTGTCACTCAGTGCCCCTTAGCACCAGCTGTCCATCGGGGGACACAGAGCCGTGCCTCTGGAGCCTGTTCCCCGGGGGCTCTGAAGGGGAGAGGGCACATTTCTTGTGCTGAGCCTGCAGTTGGGCTGGCGCTGGCTGCTGCTCTCTCCCACCTTGCACTGGCTTGTCCTTCAGAGCCCTTGGGCCGCCACCTCTAGGGCTGTGACTGACGAGCACCTGTGGTGGGGTCCAGACACCTCCCACGATGAGCAGTGGCCACTGTATCTGCATCCCTGTGGCGGGAGCGAGGTGGAACAGGGATCCGTGACTTTTGTACTGTCTAGTGTATGGACACGCACGAGAATAAAGTGTTTAAAACAAGCTGAGCTGGAGGGTGGGTGGCAAAGGCCCGGCCACCTTCCATCACTCTCCTTACACTGGGTCAGAACTGTCCACTGTGGCTTGAGCAGGTGGTCAAGGTGGCCTGCTGGCAGTGTTGCAAATGGTTGGAGCTGTGTGGCCTGATGTACTTCAGTCTTCCCTCCCCTCCCCCGCCATGCCATCCCTTGCGCCTGCTCTGGCTTTGGCATGTGTGTCTTACCAGTTCGGACTCATCCAGCCTGTTGTCAGACGCCGCCCCGGTGTGGTGCTCTGCCGTGTGGTCTGCTCCCTTCCGTGCAGATAACCGTCCGACTGTGTGTACACGTGTGCTCTCTCCTAATGCTGAGCGGGCTCTGTGCACGTAGCCGCCACCGCAGCCTTCTGAGAGCGCCAATGACACGGTGCGAAGGCCCTGGACCCAGGTTTATTGTCAAACGACACATCCTGGGCGTCTAGACCAGACGTCAACAGTTTACATTAGTACATACACAAGCCCTGGCTATGGACTCCGCTCAGATAGCGGCCAGGGGGTTCCGCTATCCCCTCGGCTGGACAAGACAGCTCCTCTAGATACACAGACACCAACAAGTTACACCTCACTCCTTGTGTAGCGAGGCGCCACCCTTCAATGGATTAGCTTGACACCCTGACATACCAAGACACCTCCCATCCCTTCCATCATGCTGTCACCCCGAGCCTGTGCTGCCCCGGGTCGCACTGTCCCTGTTCTCTGTGGGGAGCGTACTGGTACCGAGCTGTTTCTGCAGCGAGATGTCCTGTTCCCATCCTCCTGGGATGTTTACGCACATGGCCTGTGCCTGCTGCCTCCTAGTGTGTGTTTCTGTAATAGCAGCAGCCCTGCCCTGCCCTTGCCAAGTCTCTGTGAGCAGGACCTGCCCTTTGCTCACAGCTTAGCTCCGCTTTCTGGTAGCAAAGCACTGACTGTTGTTCAGGCCTCCGGCCTCCCACTAGGCCTCCATTGTCAGGCCCTCTGATTACTACACCGCCCAGTAAGATTATGGGGGAGGGTAACGTCGGAGGCCAGCCCAGCAAGCCAGTTCTTGGGCACCCACCTTCCACATCAGTTGTGGGTCCTACAGAACCATTTCTGCTCCCAGCAGACACCCAGCTACCACCTAGAATCCCAGGGCTGGAAGAGACCTCAGGAGTCACCAAGTGGGAGTTCTGTTGGAGGGGCAGTGTGCTGGGAGAGAAGCTGAGCCCTGCTTAGGGGGTGGGGCTTAATGATTAGGGGTCCTATAAAGGTAGCCTTCTAGTCAGGCAGCGGCACAGATAGCTGCAGCGGCACAGGAGCAGCAAACAGAGCTGTAATCAGGGGCGTTTGAGTGGGAGTTTGTAAAGGGAGTTTGGATAGTGGGACTTGTTTGGTGTGTGTTTTTGCTGTGGGGTGAGGGGGTGTTTTAGTTTGTTTTTGTGTTCACCGGACTAAT